AATTAAAACTTCTTTAATTGATTTGGTGATCAAAAGTCTTATTTTTTGGTGATTATTTCACTGCTAATAAATTTGGTGATCAAAAGTCACTTTTTTGGTGATCAAAAAAATTGATACCCTTTATAAAATACAAACTAGATCAAAGTTTAGTTTATAGACAATACAACACAGACGTTTTTTTGTTTTTTTTAAATTTGCGTTTATGAAAAAATAGAGAAACAAAAATAGTGAGTCTATTAAAATTATGCCAAAATCTGCAGCAGATTTATACAGATTCTGTTGGAAATCTGATACAAATCTTATCTGCAATCTGCAGTAATCTATTGCAAATCTACAGTAGATCTATGCAGACCTGTTGCAGAAATACTCCTTAAGTTATTCCGTATTCTAAAACCATACAAAGATTTGATTGAATCAAATGGAATAGAGGTGAGAGTAAAAGAAAAATTGAGTGCAGGTAGCAGATTGTGTTAAAACAGATTAACAGAAAAACTCTAATGATGATAACAATGTAATGGAAGAAAGTGGAAGTTTGGTACTGTTAGAGTAATGAGTGTTGGTACGGAAATATCCTAAATCCATTCGTTTTTTCTCAGCATTTTTCTCCAGACTCGATTTTTTAAATAATGTTTTTAAGCTACAATGACACCAAGCTGGTATCATATTAATTTACATTAGTAGTGGCGTCTGGATTTCTGCAATGCGGATACTGAGCCCAGAAAAGTTTTGAATATAGTTTAAACGATAAAAAAATGCGCTTTGACAAAAATTTTTAATGGAAAGCTCAGTCCGTAGTCACTAACTTACATCCGCGTTAAATCGTCGAAATTGCTACAATAATTGAATGTCTATTGATTATCATTTAAATTCAGAAGAGGAAAAAAATGAACTAATTAAACAACAGTAACTACATTCGCTATGGAAAAAACGATTGTATAGAAACATATAAGAAACAGAATGTATTTATCGATACAACGCGGTTCACATCTCGTTACTATTGCCACTTTCAATTAATAAATAAAAAGCTATGACAATTGTAAAAGACTTGATCTTAATTTTTTTATATTTGAATGAGCAATGGCCTCATATATACGGTCATGAGTGTAAATTTTGAAAAACTGTTTGTTAAATTGTTCATACTACAGGTGAAACATTGTTGAACCATATTCATTTCATTCTATTGACTTCTAACTTAATATGTGGATCACTCTCTAACTCCTCTTCATCATCTTTCAAAAGGTCAAATTACTGTTCAAATGAAAAAAAAATATTCGTTTTGCAATTTAGGCTATTCTTTTTCATTTTTATATAGAATAGATATCATGGTTCAATATTTTACACTTTGAAAATTAACAAAAGACGAGAAAATAAAACATATATCTATGGACATCAACAGACAGTTTATATATGATCACCTGAAGTTTCTTGATTATTCTTATTCAAGTATACACAATGGGTTAGTGGAAGTTAAAATCAGATTCATTCACAACGTTAAATCGTTCAAGATAAATATTTAGCTTGTTGTCAATTATACACAAACAGGCAAGTAATAATACCAGCGCTCATCAGTTAATACATGTGTTCTATAATATATATAAGCAATAATTAGCGACAATGAATACAGATTCTGTATCTACAAAGATTCTAACAGCAAATTTGTCAATACACCTAAAAGGATTTTTTACTGAATTTTATTTCGTAAACTAAAAAGTTAAAATATAAACAAACCCATATTAATTATGTTTGTGTTTATAGACATTAAAATGCTGACAGCTATTATTCTGTTAGTTTTATCATTATTTTCTGTTGTTTTTTCACGATGTGATCGGACAATCGGTGATAATATATCGTTTACAACAAAAATCGAGAATTCACCATATATTGTGTATGGCATGTCGATGAATAAGATAACAGAACAATATATACCAAATTTGTTCAATGTCACTTTTCGTGTTGATTGTATTCTAAAAGGAAAACCAATGGATAGAATTATCAATATTATTCAAGCTGGAGGTAATATATAATGAATAAGTGGCGTATGAAAAGGTTTTTGACTGATATGCTTTTAGGACCATTATTGGGTAGAAAATTTTGTCAAGACTTGGACGCAGGTCGAGAATATATTGTTTTTATTGAAAGATTTTTTGATGTATTTCGGCCAATTGATTTTCAAGAAATTAAATTCGACGATGAAACAGCACAACTACTAGAGAAAACATGCAGCTTAGCTCGTATTCAACCGCTTAGATACAATTCATCAGTTAAGGATCAATGTCCAACTGTGTCTGCTAACTGTGCGACTGGTAAGTTTTTTCAAACTATGAATAAGTAATAGTTTGCTTTAAATTCAATGTCTTTAGATTCTAAAATGGATTTTAGCGTATCAATCAAAGAAACTTCAACTATAGGATCAACGCACGAAATAGTATCTAGCGTACAAAAGAATTTGACAGTATTGCTTTCAAATTCACTTGGTAAAATTCAACTTAAAGAACCAAATGATAAATCGTTATTTTCGGATATTAATGGACGCAGTAGTGCTTCATTTCTTAGTTCGAATGTGTTATTTGTTATTACGATTTCAATTTATTTTATAGTAAAAAATTGAACTTTGAACGTTTGTTTCATACATCGTTCTCTTTTGTACCAAAATGAATTCACAAGAATATATCTCAGCGAACAACGATTTGATCGAAAGTTAGAGAGCGTAAAGTGACTGTTTTTCCAATTGTTTTTTATATTTGAATGAAAAAGTTATAACTCACTTACATTAGATCGAAGAAGCTTGAAAGCTTCAAAGTACAATCAACGGTGTAAAACTTTTAAGGGTACCCCTCCCCTCCTTTTGGGCTTTCCGTAGAAATGCTGTGAAATAAAAACTAAAAGTCGCTTGGGCTTCGCATTTTCATCGAAAACTCAACAGCCCAAAATCGTTTATTTCACGGTAAAACTTGCTTTCCATCAGATTTTCGAATTTTTTATTATAAAAAATCATTGGCACAAGAGTCAGGGTGGTTGATTAGATATGTGGCATGCATTTTTAAGTCTAATCAATGTTCATAGGCATGCATTTTTTTATGAATGTCCGAACGGACTTTTCAGAGACTCTCTAGAAGCTTCAACAAGAAGTTCTCAAATTATTCAAAAAACATTCGCATCCACTCAATTGTGAAATGAATAGTAGTTTTGTATTCTAATACAAATATTACTTCAAATGGTGAAAAATTGCTTTGCATTCAACGGTCGCTTCTCAAACGTTTTCTTGTGATAATTGCTACCGTTATTGTTGAGGTCTCTATCTAAAAAACTAAATATCGTCTCTGTTGTTGAATGAAACCATGTTGTATATCCGGTAGAATACGAAAAAAGTTCACAATTTTCCAGTTTTACATATGACACAACTTTTCTATTCATATTTTGAAAACCGAAATAAAAGTATAAAACCAAATTATTTAAAAGTTCGAAAACTTTATGTACAACAACATAATGAATATTCCATACAAATAGAATAGTCACAAAAATATTCTTCTAGTTGTTGTTATTTCGTTTAGTTTTTGGTGAAAAATACATGAAAATCTGAAAAAGATGATAGTGTTTCATATAAGAAATTAGAGTTTTGCTTAGATTACTTACAATTAAAAACACTGCTGCACTCCCAATGGCTTTCATTCTAACATTTAATTCTTTGGGATTAAGGAGAGTACATTGAAGACCAGTATACATCAATCGGGCGGAAGACGTGCTATACTTGGAACTAATTGAAAACAACTCACCAGAGAACCTCTTCAGGTGTTCAACTCCGATTTCAATAATTTATAAGTCGACCGATAGAGAACAGTTTGCTAGTAAAAATCCTAAAAGGATTTGGGTGTTATTGCTTCTTTCAAGAGTTATAGAATTTTTTGTATTTTTTCACAGAGAAACACAGAAACATTAATAATTTTATAACTTTCTCCAATGGAGGAGTTATGAGCACAAATTTATATTATGGGTCTTCTATATGTCTCTAATATCGGTAATAAGCCCGAACAGCTTTAGTACTGCCGGTAAGCTACTAGAGATGGAAAAGGATTTACACCAAAAAAGGCGTGCGCCTCACTACAAGGAAAGTAAAGTGAGAAAAGAAAAATAGAAAATTAATGTACAAACTAGACGCCAACTACGCTCAAGCGAAGATTGGAAAGTCAGTTTCGCTCCCGATGGCTAGTTAATTAAATCGACTAATGTAAATTGAAGATCCCTACCGCTCCATAACTCACAAATTTACGAAGCGTGTAAATTAAAACTGACACAATCATGCTGCCGGTCTTGTAAAACTAGGAACATTGGAACACGCGGAAACATAACGAACTAGAAGGCTTTTAAAAGCTAGTTCATCGTGCCGATATTTCAATGAAATGATCCCAATCACGAAAGTTTCAATATATCACGTGCCGAAGGGCTAAGTGATAAGAGACATCTTTTTTGGAAATGGGCACTGAATCGCGCAAGGAAGGGGGCATGTTTTAAAATTAATCTTGTTCTCGAGTGTTCTAGCTCTGATAGTCTCGCAAAGTAAAATCTTCCTACATTCTCGCGCTTATGGTACTTTATACGCTCAGTCGGAAAAGAAGAAGTGGTGGAAGTTTTAAGAACCAAAACTGCATACATTTTTACAGCAATCATAAAACTAAGAATGCAAACAGACAGCAGAGCTCGAGTGATAATAATAGTTCCAGCAAAGCCATACATCATATCAAGCACCTCAGCCCAGGATGTTGCATATACATATACACCTACTCGCGTAAGAGCAACAGGGAGCTATCAAACTGAGATGCATTCGAGGTCCGCGAGCAACTTCCCGTACGAGAAAGCAATCTTTCCAGCTATCTGAAGACAACGAGGAGTATGACGTCCGACGCCAACATGTCTGGATGACATCTACTCGAGCAAGAATGAAGAGTACGCATCATCATTTGCTGACAGAAGAGAGTCGAGAAAAGGAAGTGAAACTGGAATGCGAAAGTACAAAAAGAAAGAAAAATATGTAAACTGTACTTTATGGAAACTTCAAGCCGCGAAATGGTTTGAAGGTCGAGATTATTTAAGCTTCGAAGTCTTGTCTGATTACACATCCAAATGTGGAAAGCTCAGAAAAACATTAAGGCTTTCACAATAAGACTTGCACACAGTAGTTATAAGACTGTAAAGCATATACGAAAAGCAGACCAGAAACAGGGTATTGTTTAGCATCGCGTCGAACTTTTACTCCGTTAAAAAATTCAACGTTCTTTTTCTATAAATTTTACGCACTCGTGACCTTCTACTGCTTACACGTTGCAAACTTTGATAAAACTGCAAAAACTCAAACTGTGAAAACTGTTTATCTTTGGAACAATGGTGGTTTTGCACGTAGTCCATAAGTCTAGACGATTTACCACGACTAAAGTCTCACAGAACACATCATCTAGCACATATGATACAACTGGTTGTGTCAAGACGGTCTAATCAATGTTCATAGCCCTCTGCCAGGATGTTGATGTATGGAACTGCTCTGATACAGTAATATCTACCGCACTAAATTGTAGGTGCTATAGGGAAGAAGATCTGAGACGTGGATATATATAGCGTCACAGCAACTCCATACATTAGCGGCCCGACAGATGGCTATGAACATTTATTAGAACGTCTCAATTAGAACACTTGTACTGTATTTGCTGCAATAAGTGTTCTATAAGACTGTGTCGGTTCTGTGTACTCTACCGTCTGAACTCCTGGACTATGTACAAAGTCCACACAGCTTTATTACTGCTGGTAAGCTAGTCGAGATGGAAGATAATAATAATTGGCGCACATTGTGATTGAAATGCCACGAGAAATTTGTTTCGGCTGACTTTCCGAGAAGTTTAAAAGCGATAATCGTGATCAGCATAGTCGACTTCATATATGTAGATGCATTTGGCGACAAACTAAAATAAAAAGTTTTTCGAACCCTATGGGTCTCCCGTTTAGAGCTGAGTTATGATAACTTTGTGACACTTTGTTTTCGATGAAAAGTAGCACGTTCTGTAGACACTTGTCCGACCCACAAGCTGGTGTTATATTCAGTATGGCAGAACGCTCCCGTGGAAACGCTTTCATAATTCGTTCTTAAGGTGAACACGGCTGCTTCTAAACGATCGCGTCTACTCGCTCATCTTCCACCGCGATCGCTAATAAATATCAATTGTCGTACTACAATCACGGACTTGTAACGTCTAAATAAAGCTAAATAGCGTTCGACGTCTTAGAGACCGAAAGTCAAATATTTTCGATATTTTACAGTACTTATTAGTCTTTTCTGTTATGTACATAAACTGTAGAAACACACAACTCAGTTAAAGCAGAATAACTTACACCTTTTCATGTGTAACTTGAACACTGATGACTTCATCACCGAAGTTTCATTGCGAGTTGAATCTAATAGTGTCATTAAAAACAATTTATCCAAAGCAAAACAGATCAAATATACGACTCAGTGTTAAAGCCCATCTGTGCTTCACGTGATAATTTTAGTGATAAACAAATTCATTTAAAATTGTTTCGAAGGTTTGCAAGAAGAGATAAAAATTTCGACCGAAATGGCATATGATAATCGAAAAAATTGTCTGCCCAAATATAAAACATTCAGCGTTTATTCTAAAAATAATTCTGTATTTCTTAGCTAATACAATATATTATATTATATCTAATTTGTTATATATTACATATGACTTATTTATATAACAATATAAATAGTTGGAAACGTTTACAGTACAGAGTTTGATTTGAAATACTTGAAACACTCGAGATTTATCACAGTATAAATAATATAAAAATCCATAAAAATAGACAACTTATTATTTATTGACTTTCATGGAAAGAAAAAAGAATAATTCGATGATTTTCATTTTTTTAAATCGCGTATGACATGTTCGAGTGATTTACACCATGATTTATTATTTGAGTATTGTATACTACTCCACAAGTTAACAAATGGTTTGTATATTGCATGTAAATGAAGATGATCAATACTATTATAAGGTGGAGCATGAAAACAGAATATAAAATTATGATCGTTATTAGATGTGGTTTCTTTCATAGTATTTTCAGTGTCATTATTCAATTTACCACGATTAAATTTATAGGTCGGTGGATGTGCTAATGGTTGTAATTTTGATGAGGCAAGTTCAGAATGTACACGCAATTGTTCCAAAGCAACCTACAAAATAATTAAATATATTATTATTTCAAAATAAAAATAATCTTACTTCACGTATATGTTCTAATAATGGTAAATGATCTTTAGTTAATTCATTTATAGTACGAATATGTTCCAATGGTGTAATTAAAAAATGTAATCGAGCAGCAGGAGATCGAGGAACAAATAGAGCACATAAATCATCTGCATACCATAATTGATTGATTTCTGATTCTCCATGTACAATTCGACAAAATAGACAATCATGAACTTCATTTGTTGTCTTTAAATATTCAACACCTTTTTTGACTTTAACTAAACTACTACGCTCCGCTCCCATCTAAAATGAAACAACAAATCAAGTCACTGTTAAATATAGATGATGGTTTTTTGATTTTCATTTTTTTTCTTCAACATTATAATTTATTTGTAATATAACAGAAAAACAAAAATACAAAGAAAATTTGAATAGTAATAATCTATTGATACTAGCTCATGTGATTTTCAGTTTAATGCAGTTGTACGCCTATTTGTATTTTGAAACAGAATACGATGTAGTTATTGAGCTTCTTATATTTCAAATAAAGATAATGTTTAGTTATATATCTTCTAATATGATTGTATATGAGTAATCAGCAGCAAAATAATGTGATCATATATCTATGGCAGCTATTCTTACTTTTGAATCTTAATTATTTAAATTTAACTACCATTGTTGATCATATATTTAATGGTTTTGTTTGATGTTCAATTGGAAAACACTTTCTAGCCAAAATGAACATTAATGTTTGAATGTGAAAAGAAATGATCGTAATCGATACATACGTCAATTTGTAATCATAATTCCTTTCATTTATCCTCGTCAATTAATGGTGTCGATTTATCACTGAAAATTAATTTCCTCTGATTCTTGTCTATATAAATCATAAATTTTATCTTGTTTTTCATTAATTTCATTTTCTAATCATTTTGGTATGCCTGAGTTGTCGAAAATAAAAATGACGAAAGGAAAAATGTCGAAAAGTTCGAAGATGGCAGGAGTAAGATCTTAGTAGCAATAATGTTGTCGGAGGAAAGGAAAAATGACGAAACTATATTTTTAATTATTTTGCACAAACAGTAATTTAACAAAAAATATCTAACAATCAATCATTTTTTTATTTTTTTTGTTTTATCTTTAGCAACAACAAATGATAAACCTTCTAAATTTATTTCATCATTTGTATAACGATCAGCAAGAGTATCAATACGACGTTGTACACA